ATAGCTGTGTTCAAAAAAAAGTTACAGCTCTTAGAAGTTTGATTTTTTAAGTGTGCCAATACTTTTTTGGCCCACTGTATTATATTGAACATTTTAGAAATTTAAATAAAATGAAAAATCATTCACAATTAGCTATAGTGGCATCTGACTTGAACTTGAATGTTTTTACTCGACAAAAACATTACGGGATGATTTATCGAATTTGAAAAGCAAACTCGACGTCCGCGCTGTATATACGGTCATTTGAAAAAAAATTGAAGTCTCTAGCTCTTATATCTTCGGAAATCGACGCGTTCAAACATGTTATAATCATAATCTGAAATCATGAAAAAAGTAAGTTCCCATAGTAAGCCACCACTGCAGCCCATGCGTGCTTAGGCGTGGGTGCTTGTGTGCGTGTACGTGTGTGTGTGTGTGTATCCTTGTGTGTGTATGCGAGTGTGTGCGTGTGTGTGCCATGTGTAAGCAGAAAGCCGCGAAAAATGATTGAAACAGCTATTGCTCGAAGGGTTCAGGGGATCTCGTAGTCGGGCAGTCTCGACTAGAGCTTTCTTAGTTGTTATTACTTTTTGTTTTTTGTTATTTTCTTTTGTTAATGGAAACATATTGTTATTTTTTTGTTTACCTACTAATATAGTTTATAGCACTAACCAGAGAACACATAGACTAGACAACTAGTGGAAAGCTTTTTGCACGCTTTTTTTGAGGCTTTAGAACCCCTGACAGCTTTGGACTCGCTCGGCTCCTTACTTTTAGGTTCGAGCTACGAAAAAATACGAACGCACAATCATTTCGCTTCATGCGCTCGACCGAGATGGTCAACTTTTGAACAAAAGATCCCTCTATGCTCAATGTTCCCTTGCTCTCTCTCTCTCTCGATGCTCTCTGCTCTCTCGAATGTGTATATGTATGTATGCATGTGAGCACAAGCAGCAGCTCACGAAAATTGAAATTTCTTCGCAGCAAGAACCCATGCCTTCCCTTCTGTGTGAAGAGTATACCGAGCTTTTCAAAGCGTTTGCCATGCGTTTTCGTTATTATTTGTGGGAAGGGTATGAAAGCGTTGGTGCGCATAATTAAATTTTTTCGCGACGAGCATGCACACACACACTTACAGTATGCAACATGTACTATGAGCATTTGTATGCCTGTGTGCAAAGCCCTTGCTGGCTATAGCAATTTGAAATCCTAGCATTTGCATTTGGTCGATCTTGTGAAGTGCTCACACTTACATAAATATGTTTGATTGTGTGTACGCAGGGGCCGCGATGCTCACAAATGATGGGGTTATCATTGTAGAAGCAGTTCAGTGCCTTTATATGTATGTGCGTGTGTGTATGTTTATAAGTATATGCATGCGACATGAGCATTGACGTGTGTGCCTACGACAACTTAGAATTGTGTGAACGATTTTGGGTTTGACCGGAAGAGGCGCGCTTATATTTAAGTAGATGATTAACTAAAGTAACAAGTGCACTTCCTATTACTTTTATAGGTATTTTTTAATTGCATGATTTTTATGACATCTAACAGATGAACTCTTTAAAATGGGTCCATTTAGCCAGTATATGTATGTATGTACATACATATGCTTCTTATTAAAAAGGTAAATTTCACCTGTATATGTGCAGGTACAAGGGATCGAAAATCGCATTCCAATTTGGCCACTGGGATTGATCAGGTACTACATTTCTAGCAAAAATCATTCTGATAGGCAAACCCACGATCATTGAAATAAAATCATCTACTTAAATATAAGCGCGCCTCTTCCGGTCAAACCCAAAATCGTTCACACAATTCTAAGTTGTCGTAGGCACACGTCAATGCTCATGTCGCATGCATATACTTATAAACATACACACACGCACATACATATAAAGGCACTGAACTGCTTCTACAATGATAACCCCATCATTTGTGAGCATCGCGGCCCCTGCGTACACACAATCAAACATATTTATGTAAGTGTGAGCACTTCACAAGATCGACCAAATGCAAATGCTAGGATTTCAAATTGCTATAGCCAGCAAGGGCTTTGCATACAGGCATACAAATGCTCATAGTACATGTTGCATACTGTAAGTGTGTGTGTGCATGCTCGTCGCGAAAAATTTAATTATGCGCACCAACGCTTTCATACCCTTCCCACAAATAATAACGAAAACGCATGGCAAACGCTTTGAAGAGCTCGGTATACTCTTCACACAGAAGGGAAGGCATGGGTTCTTGCTGCGAAGAAATTTAAATTTTCGTTAGCCTACTTGTGCTCACATGCAGTACATAGTACATGTAGCAAGGGACAGTGTGTGTGTGCATTCTCGTCGCGAAAACATTTTCATTATGCGCACCAACGCTTTCATACCCTTCCCACAAATAATAACGAAAACGCATGGCAAACGGTTTGAAAAGCTCGGTATACTCTTCACACAGAAGGGAAGGCATGGGTTCTCGCTGCGAAGAAATTTCAATTTTCGTTAGCCTACTTGTGCTCACATGCAGTACATAGTACATGTAGCAAGGGACAGTGTGTGTGTGCATTCTCGTCGCGAAAACATTTTCATTATGCGCACCAACGCTTTCATACCCTTCCCACAAATAATAACGAAAACGCATGGCAAACGGTTTGAAAAGTTCGGTATACTCTTCACACATAAGGGTAGGCATGGGCTCTCGCTGCGAAGAAATTTCAATTTGTGAGCGCTGCTTGTGCTCACATGCATACTGTAACGAACCTTCGGTTTATCCCGAGTCTAAGCTGGGCTAGTTTCAGCTGACTGTGGATTCGTTGCCAACAAATTTATTTGTTGAAGCCCCTGCGATAATTAATTAGCCTTGTGGTTTAGGTTTTATAGCGCAGTGGTATATTTTCTTAAATAAATATGAAATGTACAAGTCACTTATGTAAATGGATGCTGGCTCGCTGGTTTGCTTAGCGACGCACACCTACTGAGCGCTGGTTCAACGCACTCCGGCTGGGAGAGTGTTGTGCTAAACACGCTAGCTCACTGTAAGGATTTGAGAAACGCCAGGATCTGGATCTGTAAACTCTGGCGGTTCGCCAGCGATGCCGATCTCTCCTACTATCTCGCTCACTCACAGCACACCGCTAGCTTCGTTCACTCACAAGCACTTCTCTTACGCACGGCTACGCGAACTCACCCAGGTGTGCAGGCCTCGCTTACGTTGCTGATATGCACCGATGTCCTGATCGGCGCCTGCTGATGATCTGCAAGGATTCCCACTGGATGTCCTTGCTGTTCCCACGATGTCCTTGCTGTTCTCACGATGTCCTGGGAGTCCTGTTTTACCACTCGCGCTGACTTGATTTCGACACTTTCTTCACTTTCACTTTTATAAATTTCGACGGCAACACTCTCTCGTATCGTTTCGATTCCTTTTGACTTCCCGTATGGAGCTGCTGGTGGCCTTTTATACCCCAGCCACAGGCCCTGCTTCGTGTGGTAACGGGGCCTGTTCGGCTCTGGAGCGGGGCCTTCCTGCTGCTCGTGCCCATAAAAACGGTAAAGTGGCGTGATCTGGGTGACGCCACTTTCCCGCCAAATTGCGTGGCAGCCTCCCATTGGCCGAAGTACCGTTGTTGCCATGCGAGTGAAAACGTCCACTGCTATCACCCGGCCCGAACGGCACCTCGGCTAACGGTCACCGATGATCGTCGTGCGTGCGACGCGAACCCATTGCTGAATCTGTAGGAGCGAAAGAGCCCGCCTCTAACAGGACTTTGACCCCCTTTCCAGTGCGAGGGTCGCTCCTACAGTATTCGCGTCGCTGTGTGGAGCAACATGTATATGCACGTATATGCATATAGACGCACAGCAAATACATACATTTATATACATTAATACGTGCATACCTATATTGCTCCTCACACTCCCCTCTTCCTTCGGGAAAACACGAGACCATCGTGTTTGAATTTGGCGCCCGCCTCCGCTGCGCTGCTCCGTTTTGCGTCGCTCCATCCCTCGATGCTCCATTTTGCGCTGATCGCTGCTGTTAACACTCTGTTAATGTTAACAGCTGTTTTTTCCCCTTACCGCTGGCAATGCTGCACTCTGCCGGTAAGTGAATGGGGCTAATATTTTTATAAGTCTCGACAAAACTTTAATAAAAATATTGTTTTTCAGGTTGGACATCTTTTCCTCTATGCCTGATGGCCTGCCGCTGCCAATGCCCACGCCGGGCGCTGCTGCAAAACTCGCCTCTCGGTTTTACAGCCCCCGGTGGCATTGGCGCACGCGCGCACGGCAATGGCCATTTCGCCCATTTGGCGCATGCTGTCCCTCGCCGTTGGAGACATCTCTCTTCTGGTTTCTGCTGCTTCTTGGGCCCTTGGGGATGCTCCGGTGGGGCATCGCAGTCACTACATGCACTGCTGCTATGAGATCGGGCCACAGACGTCGTTCGCAAATGGGCACCGGTGTTCGATCTTTGGTGTCGGTGCGCTTGTTGGCCACTCCTCTTTCGCGCACAGCTCCAGCGGAGTCGCTGGCCAGTGCGCGAGGATTCGGTTGCCGAGCTTTACCGACACCTGGCGATCCATGACCGGTGGAGCCATTCGCGTGGCAGGCGTCCGTAGTCACACTCTCACAGCAAACAGCCACATCTCTGACTGCATGCCCGCGTGCAATATGGGCCGCCGCTGCCTCCGCCCACGCCGGACGCTCCTGCACAACTCACCTGTTGGTTCTGCAGTCTCCGGTGGCTTTGGCACTCGTGCGGCGGCCACCTGCCTCACCATATCCCTCGTCGACCTCTCTGCTGCTGGCGAAGGCTCGTCGCTGATCTCCGTTTGCGGCTGGAACTCCGTGGTGGCGCTGCTGCAGACACATAATTGGATTGCTGTTGGGAGCTGGCCACATCGATGTCGTTCGCAACTGCCACCGGTGTCGAGCTTTGACGCCGGCTGCTATTTTGCGGCTCACTCCTCATTCGCGCACAGCTCCAGCAAAGTCGCTGGCCAGTGCGCGAGGATCGGCCAACAAAACGCGCCTACGTCTCAGCACGGACAACCGGATGGATTCGTCGCGTGGCAGGCATCGATGGTGAACCAATCTCTCAATGGGCAACCCAAAGCTGTAACTATGTGTTTTATGTATATATAGATATATTTTTATTTTTATTTTTATTTTTTTTATTCTGAGATATAGTATACACTTCTCTTCTTTTTTTTTTTGACATATTTGAATGCCCGGCATCCGATACGTGTCCGCCGCACCCTGTACTTCGTGCCCCTTGCCCAGACGATGCGGGCGGTGCGCCCGCTGCCCTGGGCCTCTATCCGGGCAGCGTGTTGCTCCACTTCCACTGGCCACTCCTCACGCCGCAACTCCACCCATTGTGCTGCTCCCGCGTCGGGCCAAGATACCTGCCGCTGTAGCGTAGGCCTCTGGGGTGGTGGCGGCGCCGGCTCCGACACCTGGCGTTGTAACGCTGGCCGGGCGGGCAGTCGGATCGGCCGCCACTCCTCGTCGGCGTCCATCGACGTCTCCGGTGGCGTGGGCGGCGGCGCGGTCGCCTGTTGTGGCGTCGTCTGTGGTGGCGTCTCCTGCGGTATGGGCGGCGGCGGTGTCGCCTGTGGTGGCGTCTCCTGTGGTGGCGTCTCCTGTGGTGGCGTCTCTGGAGGCGAAACTTCCTCCAATATGAACCTCGCGGGCTTCGTGGTGAGGGGTTCGCTCCAAGTTATGACAACCTCGGCGCGATGCTCCAAGCGACCCCCCACCACCTTTCCAGCGTAGCTGGCACTTACCCGCGGAGGTTCTGGTGTTTCTCCCTCCTCCGAATCGGAGATCACAATTATCTCATCCTGCTCGCCCACCTCGTCCTCGTCGCTGTCGATAATAATGATAGGCTGCTCTTCTTCTTCTTCCTCTTCGCTGCTCTGCAGCGCTCGGTGAGGCGTGGGCGGACGCGGTGGGCGCCAAAACGGACGCGTTGGCGAATATCGGCCGTTGCGGACGTAGTCGCTGACCAGCGACTCGTCCCACCGCTCCTCCTCCTGCCGCTCCTCCCAGGCTGCGCCACTGGGCGAGCTCACCGGTGACCATGCCCTGTCCTCTTTTCCGCTGGCGTCGTAGCCGTCTCTTCGGCTGCCGGTGTGGGTGAAACGGCAGTCTCACCGGCGGCAGCCGCGTTCTACTCCTGCGCGCTCGTGGTCTGGACACCGGTGTGTCCACCCTGCTCGCTCCACGTGCCGCTCCAGCGTAGTCGCTGGCCAGCGACCGAGGATCGGCAGGGTGTACTCGGCCGATGCCCAGATCGAGGTTATCTTTCGCGATGCGTCCACTTTCCATAGTAATTTTTCACCAAATAGGCCGAGCCAAAGCTCGCCTGCCCATTTTATACCCTTATGCTGCCGCGCCGCCGGCTGCGTAGACGGCAGCATATAACGGGTCCTGTGTCCTCTGTTCAGCCCACTCTAGCTTTCTCTGCCTTATGGCTGAATTCCAGGCAGGCTACGGTATCGCCTTGATACCGTTTTCCCCACTCTCACCTACTCATGCATACATAGCCCTTCGGTGGCCGAACATCGAAATGCAAGTTATTCTGCTGCGTTGCATTGTTGTTGGCCGTTTTATGTATCTCTTTGGTAGTGATTGTTTTATATGTCGCTGTGTATTTTGTTGTTGGCTGTTTTAGATGTCTCTGTACATTTTGTTGTTGGCGGTTTTAGATGTCGCTGTACATTTTGTTGTTGGCGGTTTTAGATGTCGCTCGCTTTGACATCTTCGTGCGCTAGTGATCGCTGGGCAGCCGACGTAGGCCCTTGACCCTTGTCTACGCTCGCTTGCTCTCGCTTCGCTGTGTGTGTGTGTGTAGCAATTCTTTTGCCTGGAATGCGTGCGGCTTGTTGTTGTTTTTCCGCTTTTCGCTTTCGCTAGATAAATACATAATTTCAGCTGCGCGCGTTGTTGTTGCGCATGTACCGTATATGAGTGCTGCTTGCGCATGCACTGCTTTGTTGTTGTATCTATGCATTGCGCATGCACCGACAGCTAAGTTTTTCGGCGCAGTACTGTACACTGCTTGCTGTCGTGCGCGCGCAGTTCAAACCAATTGTTGTTGCGCACCCCCATACCGTAATTTTCTTGGTGGCAACTGTAGTTTTCCAGTCACAGATGCGTTTCGCAACCGAAATTCTGCATTTTTGAGCAAAATTTTTGCCGTCTTTTTTTTCTTCTTCTTCTTTTTCTAAATGAGAAGCAATACACTTCGCTGTGTATTCACTCTATTGCTCACCCGTGTCTCCTCTCCACGGCTTGAGATCCGCCACATGCGCCGTCCTGGTCCGCTTTTCTGCCTCCGACTTTATCCGGCAGATGACTGGAGACACAAAACTGGCCACTATATATGGGCCTCCATAGCGTGGCGCCAGTTTTGCTGCGAATCCCTCTGCGGCATTAGACAAGTGGCGTTCCTTTGCCCACACCTTGTCACCTACGGCCGGCTTCCACTGCCGCCTCCGTAGATTGTAGTGCCGCGCCTGATCCTATCCAGCTCTCTCCAGGTTCCGACGCACGATCTCAAACACTTCGCGCATCTTGCTGGCTCTCTCGACTGGGGTCTGTGCCTCCTGGCCTGTGCCAATCGTTTGCGCGTCGAACAGTGATTTGGGCAACCTAGGCTCTCGCCCTTGCGTGATGAAGGCGGCCGAATATCCTGTGGATGCTGACACGCTGCTGTTGACCGCCAACGTCAACTCCGGCAATGCGTCGTCCCAGCATCTCTGGTCATCTCCAGCGAACTGCGCAATCATCGTTTTCACTGTCCTGTTGGCCCTCTCAGTGGGATTCTCTTGAGGTGTGTATGGTGCTGTCAGCTGGTGGCGCACCCCAAGCTCCTCTAGAAACACCTTGAATGCCCGACTGGTGAATTGGGTACCATTATCCGTAATGAGCACCTTTGGCGTGCCGAACCGCGCCAAGATCCGCTCTCGAAATGCCTTCTGGAGAGCTGTGCTATTCGCACTCCGCAGCGGCACCATCTCCGTCCATTTCGAGAAGCGGTCTATGAAGACCAAAAGCATAGTGTTACCATGCTTTGATCTCGGCAGTGGGCCAACAAAATCGGCACAAACTGTTGCCCATGGCTCCTCGGGCACCTGTATCAGCATTTGCCCAGCAGCTTGCAGCTGACTGGGCTTGTATCGCTGGCACACCTCGCAGCGCTGTATGTATCTTCTCACATCCCGGTACATACCTGGCCAGTAATACCGCGCTGCCACCCGAGCGATAGTTTTTCGGCTCCCAAGGTGGCCAGCGGTGGCTGCGTCGTGGTTCTCCTCTAGCACTTGTTTGCGCCGGTCCGCCGGCACGCACAACTTCCACGCAGCCACATCCTCGTGGCCGGCTTGATGAGGGATGTGCCGATATAAGTTTCCAGACTCTTCCATATAGTCTGGAAACTTATGTGGCGCCTTCTTTATGTCTTGTCGAAGCCTGGTGAGCCAGCGACATCCCGTCCCAGCTGGCGTCTCCTTGCTCTTGACCAATCGACACGCCTCCTCTCCCAGAGGCTGCCGTGAGAGCGCATCTGCTATCACATTCTGCTTGCCCTTTCTGTAGCGGATCTCGAAGTCATACTGCTGCAGCTCCAGTGCCCATCTGGCAATCCTTCCCGTTGGGCTCTCGATTGAATTGAGCCACTTCAGAGCCATATGGTCAGTGACCACTACAAATTTGTAGCCTTCCAGGTATGGCCTGAGCTTTCGTATGCCCCAGATTATAGCCAGACACTCTTTCTCAGTAACTGAATAGTTCTTTTCAGCACTGTTCAGTGTCCGGCTGGCATACGAAATGACGCGCTCTCCATCCTCCGAGGTCTGCGTCAGGATTGCCCCAAGCCCATAATTGCTTGCGTCCGTTTGCAAGCAGAATGGCTTCGAGAAATCAGGGCACGCCAGCACCGGTGACTCCGTCAATTTGGCCTTTACCGTCTCGAACGCTCTTTGCCGCTCCTCCGTCCACTCCCACTTCGTGCCCTTTTTGAGCAGTGCATTTAGCGGATGCACTGTGGCTGCAAAATCTGGCACAAAGCGGCGGTACCATGAAGCCACGCCCACGTATTGCCGTAACTCTTTTACGTTTGTGGGTGGCTTCAGCTCGGCGATAGCGGCCACTTTCTCTGGATCCGTGCAAATGCCATCCTCCGTGACCTTGTGACCCAGATACTTTAGCTCTTTCTTGAAGAAATCGCACTTGTCGATGTTGATCCTCAAGTTGGCTGCCCGCAGTCGCCGGAACACCTCTCGTAGGTTGTTCATATGCTCCTGTCGCGTCCGGCCGATGACGATGATGTCGTCCAGGTAGGCAAAGGCATGGGGCATCATTTCTGGGCCGATCACTTGGTCCAGAGCTCGCTGAAACGTTGCTGGCGCAGAATGGAGTCCAAATGGCATCACTTTCCACTGAAAGAGCCCCTTTCCTGGCACCGTGAATGCCGTCAGTGGTCTGCTGGCCTTCTCCATCGCCTCTCGCAGCTGGTCCAGAATGTGATGCACACGCGGCAAACGGTATGCATCTTTGATGGATCTGCTGTTTAGCTGTCGAAAATCAACACATAGCCGCCACTTCCCATTCTTCTTACGAACCATGACAATCGGCGCGCTATGTGGGCTCTTCGAGGGCTCGATGCAGCCTTTGGCCAGCAGCTCATCCACCTGCAGGTTGATCTCCGCCTGCATTTTTGGATTTTTGGGGAAGTAGCGCTGCTTTATGGGCCTGTTATCCTGCATCCTGATCCGGTGCTCCGTGATCCTGGTGGTGCCCTTCACATGCTGGAACTTCTCCAGCTCATGCCTCAGGAAAGCATCCACCTCTGGGTCATTGTGCATAGGCGTTGGCTGTTCCCTGTTCGCCTCCATCGGCGTCGCTGGGCTCGCCTCCACGCTGGCCACAACCACGGATAGCTTCTCCTCCGGCTGTCCGCTCGACTGTGGGATTTTTGGCTCGACCTTCAATGTCAAGCCACCGCACTCCAGTGTGGTGCCCATGCTGGCCAAGAAATCCCAGCCCACTCCTGGCAGAATCAGCAACGGAATCTGTATTTGCCGATTCCCCAGGCTGATCGTCGCCTCCAGTTGCGAGTCCACCTGACTGCAACTGCCGTCCGCTAAGCGTATGCGCCGCCGTGTAGCACGCACCACGCCCACTCCTCTGAGCTCGTCAGCAAGCTTTTCGCTGATAAAGCTGCTTGTGGCTCCCGTGTCGATCGTAGCTCTTTGTTGAGTGGCTCCAATGGCCACGATCGCCGACATCTGGCTGCCTTCATCCTGGAGGCGGCCCACTAGTGCCTGGGGGCTCCTGACTGCTGCTCCCGCTCGCCCCTGGATGGCGGGTGTCGCTTCTCGTTTCCCGGCTGGCAACAGGCAAACGTTCTTACTCCAATGCGCCCGCACTGCCAGCAGAAATCCAGCGCCTTGTTGCGACACGTAAACGCGCGGTGCCCCTCCTGACCACACACTCGGCATGCCCTGGCTGGATTCGGGATGTGTGTCCTTGCTCCGGTTGCGCCTGTCCCTGCCGCAGGAGAAGGCTTCGCCTCATCCTCCATGCGGCGATACTCCACATCGCCTCCAGCGTCGTCCATGGCCATCAGTCGTGACCGGCCATGCCGTGGCTGTTGTCGCAACCTCTCGCGGTCCTTCTCCAGCTCCTCGAACTCATCTGCCAGGTGCATCAATTCCACTAGATTGTGGAATTGATACGGCCTGGCGTAAGCGCGCAGATCGGGCAGGCTGTTATTGTATATTAGCTTCATTTCGCGGTCTGCTCCATAGCGCAGAGGCCGCATGAGAGTCTGCATTTACACCATGTAGACTTTGAAGCACTCATCTACCATCTGCCTCCGGCGTTTGACGTCATCCTCCAGCTTCTCCAGATAGCCTCTGGGCAGGAAAAACTCCTGGAAGCTGCGCACGAATGTCGCCCATGCCGTCCAGTGCCGGTTGTTGGCCACGTACCATTTTAATGCCATGCCCTTCAGCAGCTCTGGCATCGCCAGCGGGATCATGTCCAGATCCAGGCCATAGGTGTCCGCCGACCACTCCACCTGCTCCAAGAACTCCAAAGGCTTTGTGGTGCCATCAAAGCGGAAGCTCCACTCCCGCACTTGTTTGGCCACCTTTGGATATTCCTGAGCTGTGCTGTCGTGTCCTCGTGGCCTAACTTCCGGTTACGGGGTGGATGTGGCTCTCATCTCACCCTGTCGCGTGCCCTGCAGTCGTGCTGCTGCGCTTGTGGAGGGCACACAGAGCCGCGCCACATGCGCAAGCTCTGATTCCAGGTCGTCCTCCGTGACGGCGGTCGTTGCCGCATCCCTGAGTGAGGCACGGCGTCCATGCAGTCGCTCCAGCTCGGCGATCCTCAGTGAGTAAGGAATGCTTCCTTCATTCCTCGCAACCCACTCGCCAAACTGCCTCCGCATAACGTCTAGTGTGCCTGACAAGCTCACTCCGAATTCGTCACCATAACGCAGCACTTCATCTTTTTTAAGATTGTATACCCACGCTCGCACCATATTCACAAGTATTGACTAATCACACTCTTATCGCAGGGCCCCACGTTGGGCGCCAGTTGTAACGAACCTTCGGTTTATCCCGAGTCTAAGCTGGGCTAGTTTCAGCTGACTGTGGATTCGTTGCCAACAAATTTATTTGTTGAAGCCCCTGCGATAATTAATTAGCCTTGTGGTTTAGGTTTTATAGCGCAGTGGTATATTTTCTTAAATAAATATGAAATGTACAAGTCACTTATGTAAATGGATGCTGGCTCGCTGGTTTGCTTAGCGACGCACACCTACTGAGCGCTGGTTCAACGCACTCCGGCTGGGAGAGTGTTGTGCTAAACACGCTAGCTCACTGTAAGGATTTGAGAAACGCCAGGATCTGGATCTGTAAACTCTGGCGGTTCGCCAGCGATGCCGATCTCTCCTACTATCTCGCTCACTCACAGCACACCGCTAGCTTCATTCACTCACAAGCACTTCTCTTACGCACGGCTACGCGAACTCACCCAGGTGTGCAGGCCTCGCTTACGTTGCTGATATGCACCGATGTCCTGATCGGCGCCTGCTGATGATCTGCAAGGATTCCCACTGGATGTCCTTGCTGTTCCCACGATGTCCTTGCTGTTCTCACGATGTCCTGGGAGTCCTGTTTTACCACTCGCGCTGACTTGATTTCGACACTTTCTTCACTTTCACTTTTATAAATTTCGACGGCAACACTCTCTCGTATCGTTTCGACTCCTTTTGACTTCCCGTATGGAGCTGCTGGTGGCCTTTTATACCCCAGCCACAGGCCCTGCTTCGTGTGGTAACGGGGACTGTTCGGCTCTGGAGCGGGGCCTTCCTGCTGCTCGTGCCCATAAAAACGGTAAAGTGGCGTGATCTGGGTGACGCCACTTTCCCGCCAAATTGCGTGGCAGCCTCCCATTGGCCGAAGTACCGTTGTTGCCATGCGAGTGAAAACGTCCACTGCTATCACCCGGCCCGAACGGCACCTCGGCTAACGGTCACCGATGATCGTCGTGCGTGCGACGCGAACCCATTGCTGAATCTGTAGGAGCGAAAGAGCCCGCCTCTAACAGGACTTTGACCCCCTTTCCAGTGCGAGGGTCGCTCCTACAGTATTCGCGTCGCTGTGTGGAGCAACATGTATATGCACGTATATGCATATAGACGCACAGCAAATACATACATTTATATACATTAATACGTGCATACCTATATTGCTCCTCACAATACATACATATACATATTTGAGAGAGCAGAGAGCATCGTGAGAGAGAGAGAGCAAGGGAAACATTCAGCGCAGAGGGATCTTTTGTTCAACAGTCGACCATCTCGGTCGAGCGCATGAAGCGAAATGATTGTGCTTTCGTATATTTTCGTAGCCCGAACCCAAAAAGTGAAGAGCCGAGCAAATACGAAGTGTCTGGGAGATAACTCCCGAAAAAAAGTGTGCAAAACGCTTTACACTACTTGTCCGGTCTATGTGTTCTCTGGTTAGTGGTCTAATTTACCTATTTTCATTGAAAAAAAATTGAATATGCATATTCTTACTGCTTTTATTTCGCTTCAAAGTAAAAAATTAAAAAATTTTCCCTGTGTATAAACACTTTCTTGCCAAAATCTATGTCCAATTTCTTTTTTTATCGAGAATAATCGAAAATAATTTAATTAAATTAATTTCGTTTTTAGCGTACCAGTAGAGACCTGGATGCTACAGATTTTCTGTCTATATACATTTGATAAACACGAACATTTTTTGATTAACAGACTTTGGATACCACACCCCCTTTGCCACATAATTGTAAAAATCATATTTCAAGTACTTGAATGCACACACATTTGAACATTATGATCACGACGTTCAAGAAATATATTCTCATAATCAGCAGCCCAAGCGCATTCGCTACTAACTGTGCAGTTAGCAGAGTGCGTACTTATACGTACATACGTGTGGATATATGTGTTTTTGCGTTGTGTATAGAAGAAGTGCAGAGTGATTGGAATATAATTTCTTTGCAGGGCTCAGGGTATCTCCTAGCGAGCAGTCTCGATTAGAGCACCCTTGTTTTTATTGAATAAATCACTTTCCATACATTTGTTAGTCAGTACTACATTTTTGTTACAGGTTTTAAGCCCAATATATGGAAACATTTCCGTAACACGGCCGCAGTTGCTTCACATATTAAAATTCTACTGTGGTTAACATTAATAATTTGACCAGCTTCGTTTTTTTCAATGCAATAACAGCTATCATAGAATTCAGTAAATACAACGGAAACTTCATAACAAAACTCACAAAGAAAGTGTAGAAATAAACTATTGGCACATTTAATTAATACATCATGCAATTTTAGGAGTGTTTTTGCAAGTTTCCATTCTTTTTCGTGAATCAGTTCTATGTTAAATTTGTCCAAAATATCTTCCACATTGCTAAAATCTTTTCCGGAGCTACGGGCAATAGAACAAATACGACTATACGTGTATAACAAGTATACCGCCGTATTTCCACGATCATCGAGCATTTTATCAAATGAAAATATATAATCGCTTATACGGTTATGACACAAATCTGTATACTTTATGCAGCCATATGCCACCGCTTCTTGAGCTTCGAGCAGTTCTTTAGGTGTCAATATCTTATCACGACCGCGCTGCTGCAACTGCTTTAAAGAATACTTCATCCCCTCGTCCAGCAGGTCTGATAGTTTAACAGTATCACCAGATCGTGTCTTAAATTTTTTGCCATCATCTCCTAGCACCACTCCAAATTGTACATGATCAACACGATGAACATTTGGATTTAAAATACCACAACGCTCCGCAGCCTTGAAAATTGCGTTAAAGTGGGTGCTTTGTCCAGAATCCACAACGTAAATTATCCAAGTGGCATGGTCTTCTTCAATTCGATGTCTAATGGCCGCCATATCAGAGGTATCGTATGTATATCCACCATCTGATTTCACAATGGTCAACGGAATGCCACTCTTACTGTCATCAGGCCACATGATTTCCCGCCCCTCGTCCAATTCCAGAAAACCCTTGTTTCGCAGAAATTCAACTACTGACACCATACGTGACTGATAAAATGATTCGCCACGTTCATTAATTGTTACGTCTAAGCGATCATAAATTTTCTGAAATTCTTTACGCGAAACATCACATATGAGTTTCCAAGCTTTAATTGATTCTGTTGTTCCATTTTGGAGTGTAACAACTCGATTGTAAGCCCGCCTTTTAAAATTGTCATCAGTATCAAAACTAAAAAAAAAAAAAAAAAATAATAATAATAATCAATGCATTTTCAATATAAATATGGGAGCGTCTGAAAGAACCAATATACTTAAATATATACAGCATGTCCATTAGTTGTTTGCAAAACAAAAAAGGTCGCACAAATTCAACTTTAACAACATATGTATGTATGCATTTTATTAGGAAAGGGAATTTTTCTCAGATTTTTGTTACATTATTTTTGTTTCATGTATTCTTAAGGAAAATAAAAAACAAAACCAATAAGAATAGCAACAAAAACATATAAAAATAAGTTGGAACGTTGCAGTCGGCCGTTACCGACTGCGGAATAGTCATTCACATCCCATTAGCAATTTAACAGCTCAGTTTAGCTCTAATACTGTAGAAAATTCAGTTTTTCCCGATATGACACGCCCCTACTGGGCGTAGACACCTCATTTTTGGTTAATTCTTGGAACGAGATAATGGTACCCTAACTGCAAAGTTTGAATGCTTACCCTCAAAATATGTGAAAAATACAGGGTAATTTCGATATGCCACGCCCCTAAAGAGGCGTAAAAATTATTTTTAGGTCATCGATAGAGGAGGTTAACAGTAACTTAACTATTTAAATTTGAAGCTTCTGGCAATTCTACTTTAGGAGATATAAACTTTACCCGACAAAACTTTTTGGTCTTGGGTGGTCAGCCCGAGAGTATATACACAATTTGAGGTCTCTGGCGTCAATAGTGTCTAAAATATAGCAGAATTTAAAAAATCACTATATCTTCAGGTCCGATTTGCCACGCCCCTAATAGGCGTCGACTTATAAATTGTCTTTTGACTTTATAGAATCATAACATTAGCTGACGTGCAAAATTTCAGCGCTCTAGCTGTAAAACTCTTGGAGATACAGTTTTATCCGATTTGCCACGCCCCCAATGGGCATAGATATATCCGCCACAGCTCGTGATCTTGGGTGGTCGATGCGGATCTATATTCCAAATTTCAGCTTTCTAGCTCTTCAATTAATATGATTTCCGGCATATCGGAAAATGCATTTTCCGATTTGCCACGCCCCTAGTGGGCGGATCGGAAATTTTAACACTTTATAGATCGGAGATATATACGAGTATGTGCTCCAAATTTCAAATCTCTAGCTTCAATAGCGCTGAAATAGATTGCGTTCATACGGACAGACGGACGGACATTGCACAAAACCAATACATATACTAATTCACTTTCGTGAATTAGTACAATAATTCCTGCCTTTCTTTTATGCACACATACATACACATGCATCCACACGCACGCATAAGCCCGCGCTCTGCTAACTGAGAATATATTAGTTGAATAATTTCTTTTGTAGACATACAATCTTAAGGAAACTTTCAGAGCGTAATCATATGGTGAAATGTGTGTACATTTTAAAGCACAAATCTCTAGTCCTTTTTTTTTACAAAATTGGGGCGAAGGGGGCGTGGTATTTAAAATCTGTAAATTACAAAATCTTCGTATCGATCAACTGTATATACACAGTAACTATACATCTTAAGTCTCTAGGTATAAAATTGTTCAAATTAGGCTAAAAAAAAAAAAAAAAAACAAAATCAATTTTTCGATTATTCTCGATAAAAAAAAAAACTATCAAACAAGTTATCGAAAAAATATGATAAACTTGTACTGCGTATGGTACACACGAGTATGCATGCCAGCTCTTTAGCTCTTATAATTTCTGAGACCGACGCACTCATACGGACGGAGGGACAGACGGACAGGGCTATATCGACTCAGCTCGTCTTGTTGATCAAGAATATATATACTTTATGGGGTCTGCGATGATTCCTTCTGCCCGTTATATACTTTTTCACGAAACCATTATACCCTGATTTCCCATTTTGAATGGTTTCACGGTATAAACAAGTAAGAAAACTCTAGTCGAGAGTGCTCGACTAGATACTACCCTGAACCCAACTAATAAAAATGGCCATTTAGTATGGCTAAAATTTCAATTTCGATGTATTTAAATATATAAATGAAGTACAAAACTCATTTAATAAAATATAATAATATTTTGAAACAATTGAAAAAATTAATATAACTCGCCCCGCTCGGGACTCGAACCTGTGACTTCTCGATCGAGCGTCACGCAGCTACCCACCTACTTTCGCGAGCTACGGGGCAAAACTGAAATAGATTCACTGCTGCAGCGCCATCTACCAAAACTAAACGAAACTAACAGCTGATGTGATTCAAAGAATGTTTCTAGAAGAAGTTTGAATGTATGTGTGCACACGCATACGATGCAGTTGTAGCTGCTGCACGTGCGTTTGTTAATTGGCCAAATATTTGATGATTTTTAATAATTTTTGACTGAACGGAATTTAATGAAACGTTCAGCATATGATCTACATAATATATTGAATATTTGAGAAATTTAAAAAAATGAAAAATCATTCACAATTAGCTATAGTGGCATCTGACTTGAACTTGAATGTTTTTACTCGATAAAAACATAACGGGATGATTTATCGAATTTTAAAAGCAAACTCGACGTCCGCGCTGTATATACGGTCATTTTAAAAAAAAATTCAAGTCTCTAGCTCTTATATCTTCTGAGATTGACGCGTTCAAACATACGGACAGACGGACAGGGCCAAATCGACTCAGCTCGTCGTCCTGATCAAGAATATATATACTTTGTGGGGTCTGCCACGCCTCCTTCTGCCTGTTACATACATTTCAACAAAACCATTATACCCTGATTTCCCATTGAAAATGGGTTCAGGGTATAAAAACAGCAAATAGCAGCTGTCTATTAATTCTTTGCAAAATGCAAACATTAGTTGAAAGAAGACGGGAAAAAGCTAACGGGACATAAAAATCAAATGCGGCTCGCGGCGTCTATTTTCGCATGTCTTCCGTAAATTCATTCGTTTTAATAAAGTCTTGGAATCTCTACCCTTTCTCATACAATTTGAATTTTCGCAATGCCTGGTAAACGCACCGATGACAATTTGATATAATTAGTGTATTTTAATTTATCAAGGGAAAACCCATCAAGGAGTTAGCTGAAATGTTTAATATTAAGCTTAGAGCAGTTTATAATATTATTAATCGGGCAGAAAAATAAAATAGACTGAAATTAACCAATCTAAAGGCAGACCAGCAAAGCTCTCTCGACAGGATTGTTCTCAAATTCTAAAGACGGTGGAAAATAAACCACACACAAGTCTCCGATAGTTGGTGACGGACATTAAATTAAACCTTCAAAAGACAGTGTGTCCCGAGACTGTGAGAAAAGTTCTCAATTTACACAAATACTCCTCACATGTGGCAAACAAGAAGCCGTTGCTGTCTGCTTTAAATATTGAGAAACGTCTGACCTTCGCAAGACTTCATATTGACTGTCCTCCTGACTATTGAAATAACGACGAGACAAAAATTATGTTGTTATATAATGATGGCCCTGAAAAAGTTTGGCGGAAACCAAAAACAGCCCTCCACGCCAAAAACATTATGCCCATTGTTAACTTTGGCAAGGTATCATTGATGGTGTGGGGTTGTATTGCTTCGAAAGGAGTGGGAGAGCTGCGAATATTCAACGATATCATGACGATGGAATTTTATTTGGATATTTTGAAGAAGGAATTGACTGAAAGCGCGCACAACATTGGCTTCAACGATCCAGAAAACCCTAGCAAACTCAAATATAAGCTGTATCAGGATAATGATCCGAAACAGAATTCGCGGCTGTGTCGCAATTGGCTACTTTATTACACCCCACCCTAGAGCCCGAATATCAAACCGATTGAGAATTTGTGGGCCTAAGACGAAAAACGATAACTCATCCCGATCTTTTTTTATCGATAAAAAACCTTATCGGAAACCAGTTATAAAATTATATCTCCTACACCTTTATTGCTAGAGTCTCCAAATGTATGTATGCTATGTATGGTAATATGCAATTTTTGCAATTTCGGTTTTTGTTAAAATTTACCCCCCACCCCATATCCACCCCCTCACCCTCACATTTGTAAAAGGCGTATTTCAAATACTAGAAGCTTGTGCTTTGGCAAATACATGCATATCCATTTTGTTATCATAATCTGAAAGTTTCATGAAGATCGTACGTCCACAAAAAGTTATTTAACAATTAAGTTCTCATAGTAAGCCAACACTGCAGCCCATGCGCGTTTATGCGTGGGTGCTTGTGTGTGTATGTGTGTGTGTATGCGTGTGTGTATGTAAGCTGAAAGACGCGAAAAATTATTGAAATAGCTATTGCTCCAAGGGTTCAGGGGATCTCGTAGTCGAGCAGTCTCGACTAGAGCTTTCTTACTTGTTTTTATTATTTTGTATGTTTTTACTATTCTTATTATTTTTGTTATTTATTTTCGTTAAGAATAAATGAAACATAAATAGCGTAAAAAAAATTCTGAAAAAAGTGCCTTTTCTAATAAAATTAACATCATATTTTATTGAATACTAGTTGTCCCGGCGAACTTCGTACCGCCTAACAGTCTCTATATATATAAAACAAAGTAGAGTTTGTTACAAAACTTATAATTCGAGATCTGCTGCACCAATTTTCATGGTTTTTGATTTGTTGGATTTGTCTCTGCCCCGAATTGGAAACAGGCATTGTATTTTTGAGTGCTCGCTAGAAAAGTAGGGAACGCAATGGCTCTGGTGGCGGGACCACTAATGGCAATGTCACTTTACCACTAAGGCAGCACAAACCGGGCGTTTCACCAGCAAACTTCAATGCGCCACAAGGCTGGCAAACAACGTCAAATGGACCAATGCAAACTAAACGAGCTATAGTCAATGGTGCAATCATATCGAAACGCTTCTCGATTCAAATCAATCCTTGAACCATTTCTTATTGCCATTTCACGGGCTGCTTCTCTTTGAGAAGCACGAATTAAGGCCCTTCTTTGCTGGGTACTAACGCGGAGCCTTTCTCGGGCGATTTCTCGCTCTTCGTCAGATAATTGACTCGCGATATTCCGTTGCCTAATTGCATTATGGGTCCGCCGGGAAAGATTAGATCTTCTAGGACGCGGCATTTTTATTAATAGTAATACTGCCCTCGCACAAAACCATATAAAACAATCGAGAAATATAAATATAAATAATTTACACAAATTTATGTTTGAGACAAACAAATACCTGAACATTATAGATATTTAGCTTTTGTACGCACGCGCACAATTATTATTTATAAAGTTTAAAAGTCCAAAAATATAAAAAGCCAAAAATACACGTTTTAATATATAACTTTTATTTTTTTTTTGAATTTCGAATTTTGAATTTTATACTCATTCACGAAAGTGAATCAGTATATTGGTTTTGTGCAATGTCCGTCTTGCTGTCCGTCCGTCTGTCCGTCTGTCCGTCCGTCCGTCTGTCCGTCTGTCCGTCTGTCCGTCTGTCCGTATGAACGCAATCTATTTCGGCGCTATTGAAGCTAGAGACTTGAAATTTGGAACACATACTCGTGTATATCTCCGATTTATAAAGTGTTAAAATTTTCCCGATCCGCCCACTAGGGGCGTGGCAAATCGGAAAATGCATTTTTCGATATACCAGAAATCATGTTTGTTGAAGAGCTAGAAAGCTGAAACTTGGTATGTAGGTCCGCGTTAACCACCCAAGATCACGAGCTATGGCGGATATATCTACGCCCATTGGGGGCGTGGCAAATCGGATAAAACTGTATCTCCTAAAGTTGTAAACCTAGAATGCTGAAATTTTGCACGTCAGCTAATGGTATGATTCTATAAAGTCTGAAGATAAATTATAAGTCTACGCCCGTTGGGGGCGTGGCAAATCGGACCTGAAGATATAGTGATTTTTTAAATTCTCCTATATTTTGGACACTATTGATGGCAGAGACCTCAAATTTTGTATATATACTCGGACTGATCACCCAAGACCAAAAAGTTTTGTCGGATATATGTCCGCCCACAGGGGGCGTGGCAAACCGCAAAAGTTTATATCTCCTAAAGTATAATAGCTAGAAGCTTCAAATTTGGATAGCTGAGTTACTGGTAGCCTCCTCTATCGATTCCCCAAAAATAATTTTTACGCCTCTTTAGGGGCGTGGTATATCGAAAAATACCCTGTAATTTTCACATTTTTTTAGGGTAAGCATTCAAACTTTGCAGTTAGGGTAACGTTATCTCTTTCTAAAAACTGACCAAAAATGAGGTGTCTACGCCCAGTTGGGGCGTGGCAAATCGGAAAAACCTGTATATTCTACAGTATTAGAACGAAACTTAACTACTAAATTGTTGATGGGATGTGAATGAGTATTCCGCAGACGGTAACGCCCGACTGCAACGTTCTTACTTGTTTTATTTATTTTTGATTGGTCAGTTTTTAATCTTTTGATTTTTTTTTTTAATTTTTGCAGATTTTTGATTTGAAATATTTATAAAGTTTAAAAGTCCAAAAATATAAAAAGCCAAAAATACAATTTTTAAAAATTAACTTTTTTTTTTTTAATTTCGAATTTTGAATTTTTTATTTATTTTTTGAACAGTCAGGTTTTAATCTTTTGATTTTTTTGAATTTTTGCAGATTTTTGATTTGAAATATTTTTCCTTTTGATTTGGAAAAAAATTTCAGAATTTTTATTTTGTTGAAGTCTTTTTTTTTTTTTTTTGTTGAATAGTCAGGTCTGCTCGAGGCTGTGCCGTAGACTGACTGACTACATTTGTTTATTTACTTCTATACAGGACCGAAACTGTCACTGTTGTCAACGCTACTGAGTATAAATGGAAATTTCAATCTTTAGGGAAAAAACCGCGTTTTTCAAGTATTCGTCAAATTTTTTCAGTATTTTAAAGATCTACTGTCCGCCTCGTGGCGGAGACAAATCCAACAAATCAAAAACCATGAAAATTGGTCCAGCAGATCTCGAGTTATAAGTGCTAAGACACTTTTACACAACTCTCTTTTATATATATAGATTACATATATACTGTATGCCTAAAAAATGTTGTCACACTTGAAAAATTCAATTTCTATGTGTTGCAACTTTTTTTAAACACAGCTATAATATTAAAATATTTAAAAAAAATTAAATTTCAACTATGGTTCATTTTCATAGTACTGAAATATAAATATAGGCACAAATTTTTATCAAACAAATAAGAAAGCTCTAGACGAGACTGCTCGAGATCCCCTGAACCCTTTGAGCAACTGATATTTCAATAATTATTCGCATATGCACACATACACGCACACACACAGCCATACGTACGCACACATAAACACGCATTGGCTGCAGGGTTGGCTTACTATAGGAACTTAATTGCTTAATAACTTTTCTTCTGTATGGACAATCTTCATGAAACTTTCAGATTATGAATATAACATAGATATGCATGTATTTGCCAAAGCACAAGCCCCTAGTATTTGAAATACGCCTTTTACAAATGTGAGGGTGATGGGGTGAATTAGACGTGGGGGGTAGATTTTGACAAAAACCGAAATTGTATAATTGTAATTGTATAAAGTATACATAAAAAATTTGGATACTCTAGCTTTAAGGATGTAGGAGATATACATTTATTACTGGTTTTCGATGTTTTTAATCGATAACGGGGCATGTTATCGATATTTAAAACAAAACTTGATATGCGCGTGCTATACACGGACCTAGGAAAACAAATTTCAAGTCTCTAGCTCTTATATCTTCTGAGATTGACGCGTTCAAACATACGGACAGACGGACAGACTTACGGAGATGAATCGACTCAGCTCGTCGCCCTGATCAAGAATATATATACTTTATGGGGTCTGCCACGCCTCTTTCTGCCTGTTACCTACATTTAACAAAACCATTATACCCTGATTTCCCATTGAAAATGGGTTAAGGGTATAAAAAGTTTTGGAGCATTCGTTGATACGCTTTCGTTGATACAATGGTAAACAACTGTTATTTTTTATTTCTTTTTTACCCTTACTTCATCTCAGTTGTTGCATGTGTATGCAATTTCTTCTAATCAGAAATTTAAGAGAACAAGAAAAAAATGGCTAGAGCTGCAGAAATTTCTCTTCAAATACGAAATTTAATCATTAATCTGTATTTAGAGAATAAATCTTATCGTGAAATTGGTACTCTTGTAGACAGATCATGATTTAATGTGAAAAATATTATTATGCATTACACACAAACGGAAAAATAGCTCCAGAACGCAGGCCTAAAATATTAACAGAATGCCAAGAACGTATTGTGGTGTTCACAGTTGCCCAAAATCCATATACTTCGGCAGTGAAATTATGCGAAAGCCCACAGGAATCTTTTGACGGTAATTTTACACCACATACTGTTGCAAATATAGTCGAGTCTCGGTAATTTGTACCCCGCTAAGTAGAAAATCCCGATAAATCGAAATAAATTCTATCCCCTTGAAAAAAAATGAGTTAATTTGTAAAAATTCCATGCATTATGGTCCCCCTCGTTAATTAGTAGTCTTTTTCACAGCTCATAGAACATTAAGCCACTTACAAATTGAAATTTTATTTATAACTTCATATAATTTTCTGAGTGCAAGGAATCGAGACGAGAGACAAGCGAGTAGCGAGAAAGCGATTTTGAATCGCCTATTTGTTGTTGTTGCATGCTGGGCTTAAATAACCGTTTGTTAGTCGGTGAAGTATGTTATTCTTCGCAATTCAAGCTTTAATAACAGTTTGTTTCAATTTTTATACCCTGAACCCATTTTAAATGGGAAATCAGTGTATAATGGTTTTGTTGAAATGTATGTAACAGGCAGAAGGAGGCGTGGCAGACCCCATAAAGTATATATATTCTTGATCAGGGCGACGAGCTGAGTCGATTCATCTCCGTAAGTCTGTCCGTCTGTCCGTATGTTTGAACGCGTCGATTTCAGAAGATATAATAGCTAGAGACTTAAAATTTTTTGAAAATGTCCATATTTACAGCGCGGATATCGAGCTTATCACTAAAAATCGATAACTCATCCCGTTCTTTTTTTATCGGTAAAAAACGTTATCGAAAACCAGTTATAAAATTATATCTCCTACACCTTTATTGCTAGAGTCTCCAAATTTTTTATTCATGTTATAGTCATTATTCATCATGAAGATCGTATGTCCACAAAAAAAGTCATTAAACAATTAATTTAGCACACTGCAGCCCATGCATGTTTATGCGTGGCTGCTTGTGTGTGTGTATGTGTGTGTGTTTGTGTAAGTGTGTGTGTATGCGTGTGTGCGTGTTTCTTGTGTAAGCTGAAAGACGCAAAAATTATTGAAATAGCTATTGCTCCAAGGGGATCTCGTAGTCGAGCAGTCTCGACTAGAGCTTTCTTTCTTGTTATTTATGTATTAGCTCTCAATTACACTTGAACTGTCAATAATCAAAAGTATGATGGACATTCGTGTGTAGTTAAAAAAATTTGTCAGGATACAGTCATAAATTTGGATATAAGCAATGAAACTCTTTTTTTCAAACGGGTTTCATTTAGTAGTTGGATCCCGTTGCTTTTTTTTTCATGAAAATATTGCGACTGAGACTAAAATTTAAGCACTCGCAATGGCTACAATTTGAATACTCGCAATGTTTCCCTCTCTGCGGATAGCATTCACTCTGTCATGTCATCGTTTTGCAGATCGCTGTGATAATATTCGCTTATAGCATCGCATCGCTTATAAGCCTTAAAAAAAAAGTTACAGCACATAGAAGTTTGATTTTTTAAGTGTGCCAATACTTTTTTAACATTTTTTTTTATCAACTTTTATTATAAACGCGTATTAAAATATTTAAAATTATTTGTCGCTATTATTATAAATTTATATAATTGATTATCAAATTTAAAAATAGTTGTTACAATGACCACTTACCGTTTTTTTGATTCTTTGTAAAATTCTTGAAGATCTCCTATTGGTGGGCTCTCGTTTTGAAAATTTGGAAAACGATCTTCTAGATGTGCTATGAGCATGCCAAACTGCGTTCCCCAATCCCCAAGATGATTGATGCGAATAACGTCATGTTGCAGAAATTCAAGAAGCCTACAGATTGACTCGCCAATTATGGTGGAACGTAAATGACCAACATGCATTTGTTTTGCGATGTTTGGAGAAGAAAAGTCAACTAATACGCGTTTTTTTGAAACCTTTGGTGGCTGAATGCCATACCGCAACATATTTGTTAACGAGAGCACAGCAAGCTTCCTGAAAGAAATATAGACGTTAACATATTTAAGAAAACATAAATTGATTTTAACATACTTGCTGATAAAAATGTTGATGAAGCCAGCACTTGAAACTTCTACTTTCTCTATTATTGGAGACTCTGGAACACATTTTTGAATATCTTGAGCAATATCTCGTGGGGTTTTTATAATTCCTTGTTCCTTCATTTTCTTGGCTAGTCCCATAGCATTATTACACTGGTAGTCTCCGAATTTTGACGACACATTCACAGCCGCAATAATAGTTGGAACGTTAGAAAACCTGGGATATGCATTGGAAATTGCTTTTGTAAAAACTTTTTCCAAATATCCCATAATAGAAAGAGTATTATCTTCATGCATTCTAAAATTTGTATCTTTCTCTTCAGTTATTGACTAGAAACATTAAATACTTCATTATACGATGTACTTTAGTTACAAATATATAAACTAACTTTTATAATAATGGCGAACCGATGTTTAAGTTTAGTGTTTTCAATTTGCAGCTTGATGAGATCATCATAATCTTGAAAACACGTGTTCTGTTTGACTGCAGACTGCTTTATTTTCGCATTTAGATTGGCTGTCACGTGTTCCTGTTGGCCGTTAAAATCATTTATATATATTGCATTTATCAAAGAGTGGCGACAAATCATTGAGATACATACCAGATTTGCAAGTGTATTCAACTCAGTTTTCAATTCAGGAATCATTCCAATAGTTTTATTTGTAATTATAGACATTAGGAGAAATTCTGTCACATGAATATAAACATATGTAAATGTTAATATAATATTTATGAGAAATCGATAAAGTTGCAAGAAATTATTATCTGGGAAAACAAAAATGAAAACGATGAATGTAAATCATAAAAACTTTATTAAAAATAATAGAATATTGCAAATATGTATATACGCGTGAATTAAGATTAAAATCGAAACTGGATTTTGAGCACTGATCAATTCCATCAACACGTGAATTACAACAAATTTCTAACGACTTCATTAAGTTTTAAGCAATTTCGTAAATAATAAATATTCCAAATCGAACTTAATCGCTTAAGTTTTTAAAAAATAAAACAAAATATACTTTTGAGCACGCGTCACACAGAAAATTAACAATGTATAGTGATGGCTAGATTAATCATTTGATACACAATAATCGATTATTTTGTTTCAATTCACAATTTAATTGTATCGCAAAATGGGTTTTGAATAATCGAGACAATCGATGATTTGCTCAAAAAATCGCATCGCTATAAGCAACATTGGCGCACAAAAGTTGGAAAGCGAAGCGTAATTAAGGCACCAACAATTAGTAAAGTGTGGATATTTTTTTCCAAATTAAATGACACGGATGTGAATTGCCAATTGTGCCAAAAACAATTGAAGTATTGTAAAAACCAATATGCTTCAGCATTTAAAACTCAAACATACGAAAGAGTTCGCGTCCCTCAAAGTGAGTTTTCAGTTGTCTATAATAATGAAAGTTTAGGAAGCGCTAGTGACGGCTCATCTACTAGCGAAGTTGAGTTCGATTTATGGACCCACCACAAGGCACTGGCCCACAAAACCAGTAAGAAAGACGTTAACCATTTTCAAATTCAAGAGGAGCTCAGTCTTTTTATACCCTGAACCAATTTCCAATGGGAAATCAGGGTATAATGGTTTTGTTGAAATGTATGTAACAGGCAGAAGGAGGAGTGGCAGACCCCATATATATATATTCTTGATCAGGGCGTCGAGCTGAGTTGATTTGGCCCTGTCCGTCTGTCTGTACGTATGTACGAACGCGTCGATCTCAGAAGTAGGGCTGCAAATCCATCGATGGAGTCTATCGATAGTATCGATGGATTTGAACTCAAGATATATCGATGGATTTTTTCATCCATCGATAATTTACTACTTGGAAGCGCGAAGAGACACATGTAAGTATTTTCTAATATTTTATTTTGTGATTAGCTTTTTTAACAATATTTTAATGAAATAATTTCGCAACGACGAGCTGTTCTTAAGGCCAAAAATGTAAATATTCTGTTGTTTATCAACAAAAACCAATGGTTGCTGGAGAACTAGATTTATTTTTTATAAAATTAGTATAGAGTTAAAACACTAACCAGAGAACACATAGACTAGACATCTAGAACAAATTTTTTCACCGGCGAAAAAATGCGCTGAGGAGACTACACAACTTCGTATTTGCTCGGCTCAGTCTCTTGAGGCTCAAGCATTGAAAATAAGGCAAGACAAAATCAGTGTGCTGCGAGCGCTGCCACGAAATGCACGCATTACCAAATGAAGCACGGCTATGCGCTCTTTTTCCCTTGCTCACTCTCTCCCTCTCTTTATGCTCTCTCTCTATGGTCTCTCGAATGGCAGCAGCGCACAAAAATTGAAAATTGTTCGCGACGATCTGAGCTCGTTCCTTTTGAGTGAAGGGTATACCGAAATTTGTAAAGCGTTCGCCACGTTCATGCAAACAAAATGTAAGCGTTTCGATGGTTATTCGTGGGAAGGGTATGAAAGCGTTGATACGCATAAACAATATGATTTCGCGACGGGCAAGTACACACACACACTTGTAGTCCCTTGCTTCATGTATGAGCATTTGTGACCTGCGTGCGTTACTCTTGCTGCTTGTAGCAATTTTAAAGCCCAGCATTTGCATTTGGTCGGTCTTATGGACTGTCATAACCACTTTACACAGATGTACTATGTATGAACATACATACATACATACATATGTACATAAGTACATTTATATATTATTATTGCTAATCATGTTTATAAATGTGTCTATATATAATTAAAATTATTTTATACACATTTTTAACCGAAAAAATTATCGTAAAACACTACTAACTTTATTAAATGCTTTGCAATATATGAAATACACATGTCATATTATACTCAAGCTTTACTCATTATGCATTATCATTGCATTAAGTCATAATGGCCCATTTGATAGTCACCCTACGATTCAAATCATACAAAATTTACAAAATAATAATTCCAGAGACAATTAGCTTGCCATCCCATACAAGCATACACATACACAAATGTATGTATGCATGTGCTCACTTCACAAGGCAGACCAACGGCAAATTTTGGGCTTTACAATTTGCACAGCCTGTTCTGCACAGAAAGAATACATTTTCGCGACGAGCATGCACACACACATTTACATGGGCATCAATACTTTCAAACCCTGACGCAGGTAGCAAGAATAGAGTTGCTTACACAAGCACACAAATGATAGCGAGGGACTGACAATGTGTGTGTGCATGGTCGTCGCCTAAGCATTTTTTATGTGTGCAACTTTTGGGCTGATAATAGACGAAAATACTGAGAAAGAATTGAGTTTCGCGACGCACGCACAGAAAAGCACATACACGTAGCAAGGATGTAAATGTGTGTGTGCATGCTCGTCGCGAAAATGTATTCTTTCTGTGCAGAACAGGCTGTGCAAATTGTAAAGCCCAAAATTTGCCGTTGGTCTGCCTTGTGAAGTGAGCACATGCATACATACATTTGTGTATGTGTATGCTTGTATGGGATGGCAAGCTAATTGTCTCTGGAATTATTATTTTGTAAATTTTGTATGATTTGAATCGTAGGGTGACTATCAAATGGGCCATTATGACTTAATGCAATGATAATGCATAATGAGTAAAGCTTGAGTATAATATGACATGTGTATTTCATATATTGCAAAGCATTTAATAAAGTTAGTAGTGTTTTACGATAATTTTTTCGGTTAAAAATGTGTATAAAATAATTTTAATTATATATAGACACATTTATAAACATGATTAGCAATAATAATATATAAATGTACTTATGTACATATGTATGTATGTATGTATGTTCATACATAGTACATCTGTGTAAAGTGGTTATGACAGTCCATAAGACCGACCAAATGCAAATGCTGGGCTTTAAAATTGCTACAAGCAGCAAGAGTAACGCACGCAGGTCACAAATGCTCATACATGAAGCAAGGGACTACAAGTGTGTGTGTACTTGCCCGTCGCGAAATCATATTGTTTATGCGTATCAACGCTTTCATACCCTTCCCACGAATAACCATCGAAACGCTTACATTTTGTTTGCATGAACGTGGCGAACGCTTTACAAATTTCGGTATACCCTTCACTCAAAAGGAACGAGCTCAGATCGTCGCGAACAATTTTCAATTTTTGTGCGCTGCTGCCATTCGAGAGACCATAGAGAGAGAGCATAAAGAGAGGGAGAGAGTGAGCAAGGGAAAAAGAGCGCATAGCCGTGCTTCATTTGGTAATGCGTGCATTTCGTGGCAGCGCTCGCAGCACACTGATTTTGTCTTGCCTTATTTTCAATGCTTGAGCCTCAAGAGACTGAGCTGAGCAAATACGAAGTTGTGTAGTCTCCTCAGCGCATTTTTTCGCCGGTGAAAAAATTTGTTCTAGATGTCTAGTCTATGTGTTCTCTGGTTAGTGGTTAAAACCACCTTGTGAATTTTTTTTTTTTTTTTTTAATGAAATAATTTAATTTTTATAGTTTTATAATTTTATATCAGAGGCATCTCAAAATGAAATCATGTACCTTTTATATATATATATATATATATATATATATATATATATATATATATATATATATTTTTTTTTTTAATTTTTAAGACGAAACTGCTTTAAATATAACAAGAATAAAAACAGCTTGAAGCATATAAAAAAGAATTTAATTATTTGCATTGATTGACATATTTATCCATATGTAATAAAATATATATTTTATTAGATATACAACCATCACATAAGGATCCGATTACTTTTGTATTGTATTTTTATACAAAATTGCACGAATCATTTACATACAATGTGCTGGATGTATGATTGAAATTATTGAGAATTTCTGTATTTCTAAGAATTTCAAATTTTCGATGGAACTATCGATAGTATCGATGGTTCATTCCATCGATGGAGAAATCTATCGAGGGGAGCATCTATCGATGGTTTTGCAGCCCTACTCAGAAGATATAAGAGCTAGAGACTTGAAATTTATTTTCCTAGGTCCGTGTATAGCACGCGCATATCGAGTTTTGCTTTAAATATCGATAAATTGTCCTGTTATTTTGTTATCGATTAAAAACATTATCGAAAACCAGTAATAAATTTATATCTGCTATATCTTTAAAGTTAGAGTCTCCAAATTTTTTATGTATACTTATATGCATTTTATACAATTTCGGCTTTGTTGAAATTTACCCCCCCCACACCCCTAATTCACCTCCTCACCCTCACATTTGTAAAAGGCGTATTTATTTATTTAATTAAAGATATTGACAAAACTAGAGTCAACTAAAATTAAAAAGCCTAAATTAATTACAGAATCATTGACAATAGTATCACCAACCCGAAGCGGGTATTTTATTTGCCAGTCCGGCCATCTATGCCCCATTTCACAGCCAAATGTGGTCAGTGATACTATTGAGACTATGAAAAGAAAGTGTTAGAATGAAACTTAAAATAAATATTAAATACTTTTTAATTCTTAATGTTGTTTTAAATGCTCCTGTTTTTGAATTGAAGCGTAATGTCGTCAACGCCTGGGAGGAGATGCGTACTGTATACCCTAAGCTATATGTTATAGCTTGTCGGTATTGTTTCTTAATAGGCACTTCGGTACCAGCGGAACGTCTTTTTTCCAAGGCGGGTGCCACATTAACCGAAAAAAGGAACAGGTTAACAACAGAGCACCTTTCACAACTACTATTTCTTAACTCAATTTTAAATAAGTAAACATTTATATTCTTTACTGTTCTTGTTGCTATTGTTGCTTCTAAATGGAGTTCATAAAAAATAAATTAAGCGCATTCAAAAAAATCATTTAATCAATCGATTTTTCCATTTTTCCGCGATTAATTGCAATTAACTTTAAAGCACCTAAAATAAATCATATGATTAAATAATCGAACAATGATTTTTTTTTGCCATCACTAAGTTAAGTTATCGAAATCAGTGTTGCTCACTAGTGCTGTAACAGAAATTGTCTCTCTGATTTTCTGATGTTTCACATAGATTTGGAGTAAATTTAAAATGAAGCAAACTTCCCCTGAGGAGCGGAAACTCGCGATTTTTAGACTCATTCACGAAAGTGAAATGAGTATATTGGTTTTGTGCAATGTCCGTCTTGCTGTCCGTCCGTCTGTCCGTCTGTCCGTATGAACGCAATCTATTTCGGCGCTATTGAAGCTAGAGACTTGAAATTTGGAACACATACTCGTGTATATCTCCGATTTATAAAGTGTTAAAATTTTCCCGATCCGCCCACTAGGGGCGTGGCAAATCGGAAAATGCATTTTCCGATATACCAGAAATCATGTTTGTTGAAGAGCTAGAAAGCTGAAATTTGGTATGTAGGTCCGCGTCGACCACCCAAGATCACGAGCTATGGCGGATATATCTCCGCCCACTGGGGGCGTGGCAAATCGGATAAAACTGTGTCTCCTAAAGTTGTAAACTTAGAATGCTGAAATTTTGCATGTAAGCTGATGTTTTAATTCTATGAAGATAGGTGAAAAAATTATATATATACGCCCACTAGGGGCGTGGCAAAACATATAGTGATTTTTCGAATTTAGGCACTATTGATATTAGAGACCTGAAATTTTGTATATATACGCGGGTTGACCACCCACGTCCAACGAGCTATGGTAGATATATGTCCGCCCATAGGGGGCGTGGCAAACCGCAAAAGCTTATATCTCCTACAGTTTAAGAGCTAGAAGCTTCAAATTTGGATAGTTAAGTTACTGGTAGCCTCCTCTATCGATGACCTAAAAATAATTTGTACGCCTCTTTAGGCGCGTTGCATATCGAAAAATACCCTGTAATTTTCACATTTTTTGAGCGTAAGAATTCTAATTTTGCATTTAGGTAACCGGTTGCTCGTTCTAAGAACTGGATGAAATTGAGGAATCCACGGACACTAGGGGCGTGGCAATCGGCATTTACAGTGCCCGAATTGCGACATTTATATGCGTCAGCCATCTATTTATGTATATGTACTCATAAGTAGGCTTAATAGGCATTGATAGCGCGGAAGGAAACATTTTTATAAAATTAATAAAATACAAAAAAGCTAAAATAACAAAAATTTGCCATTTACAAAAAAGTGTTTTCCGCGGGATTTGAACTCGCACCCAACCCAAACAGCATGTTTGTCAAAATAGCTAAAATAAAGATCGTCGGCGCTTCAGCCTACAGCACCACCGCGTCGTTTCTATCAACAATAGTTAAAACGAAATCACATTGTTGTTATGACGCCACATAGCAAAGAAAAGCCAGTGTAGCGGCTGGAAATTAAAAAACAATGCAAAGACAAATCAATCGCAACGGGATTCTAAGAATATGCTAGAGCACGCATTTATGTGTACATACATACACACATACAAATGAATACGTGTATAAGGCTGGAATGCTTGATGCTATGCGTGCAGACTTACATATATACATATGTATGTATTTGCGTATATGTATTTGAGGGCTATTTAAGAAGAAACAAATTTAAACTTATAAAATTATTCGACTAAGAAAATGAAAAGTATTAAGTGCCATTCAGTCAAGCTCGCACCTTCCCAATAAAATATCTATTTTATAAAAAACGAAATGTATAGGAAAATCGCGCTGATCTGCTGCTAGCTTGAAGCCGGTATCCAATATATGGATATAAATATACATACATATATTATTAAAAGTAAAAATTGTATAAATTATATATGTATGTAAATTGAATGCAATGATGCAATGATCATAGCAATAGCTATCGATGATTTTCCAATTTTAATGGGATCATGCCCTGTTTTTTGTTTCGCACTAGACTTGAAAATTGCGCTATATACTCTGGTTGACAGCGTTTGGGCTGTGAATGAGTCTTCTGCAATCGGTATCGCCCGACTGCAACGTTCTTACTTGTTCATCATAATAATGGAAAAAGCTATGCAGAAATAGCAGATATACTTAACAGACCTCGAAGCACTATACAGTACATCATTAAAAGGAACAATAAGGATAATGCAGTTTTAAATAAAGTCCCAGCTCAATCAAATAGGAAGCTGGCAGAAACTGATGAAAGGTGGATAATACGCCAAATAAAAGACAATCCTTTCAAATCCGGCTCAAAAATAAAGAACGAGCCAAAAATATATTTACAAAAGGATATCAGTGATTCAACAGTTAGACGAGTACTTCGTAGCAACGGTTATCATGGCCGAATTTCTTTTTTCAGATGAGTCGAAATACAACAAGCACACTGTGTGAAGAAAGCCAAATAAAGAGATGGATGTAGCCAATTTGCGTCCAACTGTCAAACATGGCGGTGGAGTCGGTAATTTGGCTTTTATCGATGGAACTTTAAACCAATATGGAAATATAAACATCTTAACATCCTTAAGTCGAATTTACTACCAAGTGCCGAAAAATTCGGGATTCGGTCTACTTCTAAGCTCTATGCGGACAACGATCCCAAGCATACCTCCTTGAATGCCAAGACATGGGCGCTTTACAATTGTTCCAAAGTGATGGAAACTCCACCTCAGAGTCCCGAAATAATTGTCATCGAACATCCTTGGCATATCCTTGAGCAAAAAATTCGAAATCACAAAATTTCCAACAAGGATGATCTGAAGAAAGCTCTGTGTGAGGAGTGGAATAAAATTAGCGCTGAAACCTGCAAAAAGTTGGTTGATTCGATGCCAAAATATATTTATATTATATATATTTATAAATATTTATGTACCTATGCTGAAGTTTTCATATTTTTCTGAGTTTTGGAACATGATTTTTTTAGTCGGAAGTAAAAATTTTTGTGTGTACGATTTTCAGTGACGCAGACTGTATGTAGGATAGGATTGAGAAATCACTACACAGCATTGACAACTAAATGTATACCTGTGTTTATGCCTGGATATTGCGATTGATTTCTCTAAGGTAAGCTAATAGAAAATATTTTATTTTAGGAAGAGAGAGCTCTAAGGATAATACATGATAATATATATTAAAATTTACACATAGAACATGAAACGCACTATGCACAAAATAATCCGTAGTGCACACAGGTAAATGAAGCTGAGAAAAAGTTTATAAGTTATTTAGTTTTTTGGTACAATGTTTGATGAAGATTGCACCGAAGGTAAGTTCACTGAAATAGGCGTCGCGACGTGTCGATCTGTTACGATTTAGGAGTTTAAGTTCATGAACCACTACATGAGGTGGCCAGAAATTAGGATCACATAAAGTTTTAAAATATTCTACCGAAACATTGATCTTGAATGAAGAAATTCCTCGCGGGGTTGTGAAACTAAACTTCGATATAAAAACTTTTGCCAAAATCTTACTTGATATAAACGCAGATACTGCCTCACAGGTCGTATCAGATGAAAGCCTAGATAAGAACAGGTAAGAACGTTGCAGTCGGGCGTTACCGACTCTGGAATACTCATACACATCCCATCAGCAATTTGGTAGTTAAGTTCCGCTCTAATACTGTACTGTAAAATGCAGTTTTTCCTGATTTGACACGCCCCTACTGGGCGTACACTCCTCATTTTTTGTCAGTTTTTAGAACGAGATAACGGCACCCTAACTGCAAAGTTTGAATGCTTACCCTCAACAAATGTGAAAATTACAGGGTATATCTCGATATGCCACTCCTACAAAGAGGAGGTTACTGGTAACTTAACTATCTAAATTTGAAGCTTCTAGTTATTATAGTTAAGGATATATAGAATTTTGCGGTTTTCCACGCCCCCTGTGGGCGGACATATATTTGAAGTCTCTGGCATCAATAGTGTCCAAAATATAGCAGAATTTTAAAAATCACTAGATCTTCAGGTCCGATTTACCACACCCCTAGAAGCTGTAGACATAAAATTTTGTCTTTAGACTTTAACATTAGCTTTAGAATCATAACATTAGCTGACGTGCAAAATTTCATCGCTCTAGCTGTAAAACTCTTGGAGATACAGTTTTATCCGATTTTCCACGCCCTCAATGGGCGTAGATATATCCGCCATAGCTTGTGATCTGAAAATGCATTTTCCGATTTGCCACGCCCTTAGTGGGTGGATCGGGAAAATTTTAAATCGGAGATATACACGAGTATGTGTTCCATATTTCAAGTCTCTAGCTTCAATAGCGCCGAAATAGATTGCGTTCATACGGACAGACGGACAGACGGACGGACATCAAGACGGACATTGCATAAAACCAATATACTGATTCACTTTCGTGAATGAGTATAAAAACAATTCTAAAATATTAGCACTAACCACAGAGCACATATGTAGATCGGACACTTTTTTCGAGCGTTGCGTCCCACACAACTTCGTATTTGCTCGGCTCCTCACTTTTTGGGTTCGGGCTACGATAATATACTGTGACTTCGTATATTTACATACGTAGCCCGAACCCATCATTTCGCTTTATGCGCTCGACCGAGATGGTCTGCAACGTTCTTACGTTCTTACCTGTTCTTATTTCGGCTTTCATCTGATACGACCTGTGAGGCAGTATCTGCGTTTATATCAAGTAAGATTTCGGCAAAAGTTTTTATATCGAAGTTTAGTTTCGCAACCCCGCGAGGAATTTCTTCATTCAAGATCAATGTTTCGGTAGAATATTTTAAAACTTTATGTGATCCTAATTTCTGGCCACCTCATGTAGTGGTTCATGAACTTAAACTCCTAAATCGTAACAGATCGACACGTCGCGACGCCTATTTCAATGAACTTACCTTCGGTGCAATCTTCATCAAACATTGTACCAAAAAACTAAATAACTTATAAACTTTTTCTCAGCTTCATTTACCTGTGTGCACTACGGATCATTTTGTGCATAGTGCGTTTCATGTTCTATGTGTAAATTTTAATATATATTATCATGTATTATCCTTAGAGCTCTCTCTTCCTAAAATAAAATATTTTCTATTAGCTTACCTTAGAGAAATCAATCGCAATATCCAGGCATAAACACAGGTATACATTTAGTTGTCAATGCTGTGTAGTGATTTCTCAATCCTATCCTACATACAGTCTGCGTCACTGAAAATCGTACACACAAAAATTTTTACTTCCGACTAAAAAAATCATGTTCCAAAACTCAGAAAAATATGAAAACTTCAGCATAGGTACATAAATATTTATAAATATATATAATATAAATATATTTTGGCATCGAATCAACCAACTTTTTGCAGGTTTCAGCGCTAATTTTATTCCACTCCTCACACAGAGCTTTCTTCAGATCATCCTTGTTGGAAATTTTGTGATTTCGATTTTTTTGCTCAAGGATATGCCAAGGATGTTCGATGACAATTATTTCGGGACTCTGAGGTGGAGTTTCCATCACTTTGGAACAATTGTAAAGCGCCCATGTCTTGGCATTCAAGGAGGTATGCTTGGGATCGTTGTCCGCATAGAGCTTAGAAGTAGACCGAATCCCGAATTTTTCGGCACTTGGTAGTAAATTCGACTTAAGGATGTTAAGATGTTTATATTTCCATATTGGTTTAAAGTTCCATCGATAAAAGCCAAATTAGCGACTCCACCAGGGTGACCGAATATGGTATTTTAAATACTTTTTGGTATTTTATCAGCTCCGATTTTGCTCAAAAGTATTTTAATGGTATATAGGTATAAAACAAATAAATAGAAAACATGAGCAATAAGCAAAAATATAGAGCTGAGTGGGAGACTATGCCGGAAAATGAAAAATGGCTGGGAAGGAGCGCTAATAATATGGATGCGCACTGCAAAGCGTGCCAGACTAATATTTTAAGTAGGCTGGCGTCACTTAAGCAGCATGCGGCTACACAAAAACAAAGATTTAATAATTTAGCCCGTTTCTAATCCGTCGTGTGAACGCATATTCTCTCAAATTAATTTAATCAAAACGAAAAATCGAAACCGCTTTAAAAATGTAAATATATCACATATATTACATGTACAATAATCATTGCGCGAAAATGGGTGCAATAATTTTAAGCCCAGTGAACAAGTGTTATGTAAAGATTTCAACAAATTTAATTTAAGCTGCTCTGACGAAGAAGGCTAGTAAATATAATTAAATGATCTTAAGAGAAACTAGCAAGACTGAACAAAGAAGTTCCTTTACTATTTTATTTTAAGAAAATGTTACAAAATGAATTTTAAGCATTTAATTAATTTTAAGACTTTAAATATATATTGGAATATGGAATTGAATACGAATGCATATTGTTCTAGTTTTATGTTGGACTGAAATATTATTAATTTTTTAAAATGAAATAAACAACAAACATTTATATAATAAGTCAGTTATTATTTTATTATAATTTGAATTTCCAGACGATTTATTTGTTATGGTATTTATAGTGGTACTTTGTAAAATATGAAATAGTATTTTATAGTATACTAGCTGGCCCGGCAAACGTTGCATTGCCCTCTATGTTATTTCTAGGTAAAAAATTGTTGAAAGCTATGTTGTTCAGGTTGGGATACACTCTGATTAAGTTATTAATCGGATTTTCATTCAACACCTTGTGGTAAACGACATTCTTCGTTTTTTGGTCGGGTGCAAGAACAAATAATGCGGATGGTTTGCCAACACGTGAGCATGCCACGTACAATTGACCATGAGAAAAACACGCATTTTCTAGATTGAGGCCACAAATAGTCAAAGATTGGCCCTGTGACTTGTTGATCGTCATGGCGAAGGCAAGACGAAGCGGGAATTGAATTCGTTTAAATTCAAAGGGCATATCTGTTGAGATCATCGGAATCCTAGGAATAAGAACTTCCTCATCTTTAAATTTTCCTTTGAGTATCGACGCGTGAATCACATTGCTCATCAGTTTTCTTATCACCAAACGCGTTCCATTGCACAGTTTTGGTTGGTTTAAATCTTGGAGAATTGCTCTTTTCATAGCTGTGTTGATTTCTTGACGCCGGTCAAGTTGTTCTTCCATATTGCCCATAAAGTATATTTGCAAGAATTTGTGCTGTGCATCTTCAATAGGTTGCAATGATCCAATGCGATGGCCAATCTGGCCTTGAATCTTTAAATTCAAAGCCATAGTTATAGTTAGATTTACAAACACTTTTTACAGAAATCTAACAAACTACATTATTCCAAATTTTTTTTTTTTGACAGTCATAGAAAATAAAATTTGTAACGTAAATTACGGATTATATCCGTCTCCAATAATTTCCGCCCCAAATGAAGTCATTTGGAAACAGGCATTGTATTTTTGAGTGTTCGCTAGAAAATGTCGTGATTCTAGTGTTTCGCCATAAAGCAGGGAACTCAATGGCTCTGGTGGCGGGACCACTAATGGCAATGTCACTTTACCACTAAGGCAGCACAAACCGGGCGTTTCACCAGCAAACTTCAATGCGCCACAATGCTGGCAAACAACGTCCATTGGACCAATGCAAACTAAACGATTCAAGCTGTAATCAATGGTGCAATCATATCGAAACGCTGCTCGATTCAAATCAATCCTTGAACCATTTCTTATTGCCATTTCACGGGCTGCCTCTCTTTGAGAAGCACGAATTAAGGCCCTTCTTTGCTGGGTACTAACGCGGAGCCTTTCTCGGGCGATTTCTCGCTCTTCGTCAGATAATTGACTCGCGCTATTCCGCTGCCTAATTGCATTATGGGTCCGCCGGGAAAGATTAGATCTTCTAGGGCGCGGCATTTTTATTAATAGTAATACTGCCCTGGCACAAAACCATATAAAACAATCGAGAAATATAAATATAAATAATTTACACAAATTTATGTTTGAGACAAACAAATACCTGAACTTTCGAGATATTTAGCTTTTGTAAAAGTCCAAAAATACACTTTTTAATAATTAACTTTTTTTTTTTTTGGAATTTCGAATTTTGAATTTTTTATTTATTTTTGATTAGTCAGGTTTTAATCTTTTGATTTTTTTTTTAATTTTTGCAGATTTTTGATTTGAAATATTTATAA